CTGGGGTACAGGAAGTACCCGCCCCTCCCACAAGGCTCTCCAGCTGGCGCCCTCTGCTGTCTCTGGACTCTTCCCACGCTCTGCCCTCGCGTCCTCTAGTACTAGCAGGGCTGCTGCTGCGTGCCGGTCTCTTCCGGAGGCATCAGCACTAGCGATGGGAGCATCCTCTACCCACCACAATGAGACCGGCTGGGGTGGCAGAGACCTCTTTCCTCCGGTCGGTCGCTCCTCTGCTCAAAATGTCCTCAAAGCCCTGAGAGGCTGCAAAGCTGGCTCTGGGGGCTGGCCTGCAAAGTTCTCAGGGCCTTCCTTCCTCCGTCCCCTTCTTGCTCTTTTCCCTCACGGCTGACCACGCTCACAGCCCACGGTGATCCCTCCCACCGCTCAGCTCACCCCGCAGCAGCTTGATTCTAGGCCACTATTGACTGTAACAGGCACCAGCAATTCAGCAGCACGTTTTTAGGGAAACAAAAAACCCCACCATATTAACATTGATTTTAATGTATTTTTGGGATTTGAGAAATGTCAAAATGTTTAAAAAAGAGAGAGAGAGAGAGAGAGACTCTTAAAAATAATACACAGATAGCCAAGATGTGGTATAGCTATACAAGGGAATAACTACTACTTAGCAATGAAAAGGAACAAACTATTCATACGTGTAGTAACTTGAAGGAATCTCAAAGTTACTATGCTAAGTTCAAAACGCCATTCTCATGAGTTTATATGATATGTAATTCCATTTCTAGGACACTGTCACAACGACAAAATTATATGACAGATCAGTGGTTGCCAGGGGCTGGGAGTACTTGTTCCGGGGGAACAGAGCTTTCTGGGATCTTGACTGTCATGGTGATTATGTGAATCCATACAGGGCTTAAAATTCATATAAATGCACAACAAATAAAGGCCAACTTTACTGTTCATTAATTCAAAAATTAAAAATTTTGAGTATGACTTTTGAATCAAGGAAAGAATATGCCTTATTAATAAAGTTGATGAGCAGGTGCTAGAATTACTCATTATTTCCCCTGTATACTTGTCCATATTTTTCAAAATTTTCACTGCAACTATTATTTTTATAAATAGAAAAAATCAGCACTGTAATCTCCAATCAAAAAAATGCATATATAATACTGCTTATAAAGATGTTTAGCAATCCTGTAGACTCGTATTACAAAATACAGTCAATAACTTAAAAATTATGCATCAGGTAAAACCATGAACTCACTGGTAACTAAGAGAAGAGGGTGGGGAGAGGTGAGGGTCACTCAGGTAGAAGGAACTAGAGCATTGAGAGTACAGTCCCAGGAAGAGTGGCTTATCGGGACATCTACTCTCCTCACTAAGTAGTTCAAGAAGAAGTGCACACCGTGGCGGGGGAGGATATAAATGTGGAGGTCTCAGGATACAAAGAAATAATTTCTGTTCTACCATATAAAAGATGGACTTATGGCACAGTGCCAGATGAAAAGAGAAACACCAGCTATCCTCTGGAAAGTAAGCGCCCTGAAGGCCATGTCCAGGGCTATACAGAGGCTGTAACTCACAAGTGTTTGTTGAATGAATGCATACTTGCTAACAAGAAGAGACAGGGAGGTGAAATTAATCCTGACACCAAAGTAATGGGCTCTAAATTGGCAAGGATCTTGAACTTGCATCACAAGGTAAAGAAGAAACTGTCTGTTTGCTGTTCCTTTTGTATCCCCCATAAAAGTTAGCGAAATGCTTTATATATACACTGAGTACTCAACAAATACTTGCGGAACTGAAAGTAAGATGTCAGACTTGGAGGCGGGAATCTTTTGATCCTCCTTCCTTAATGACATCATAAGAAGCTGAAAGAACGTCCCTCTAGTCAGAAATCAAAAAGAACACTGTTAGCTTTGTGGGGGGCCACAGTTTACTGGTTTACTTCGATTGCTGAAAAGGAAGTTATGTTTTCTTAAAATTAAATGTCTCACAGTGTTTTAACTTTTATTTCAATGAATGAACGAATAATGCCCCCTAAAACATTTCAGTGTCAAACTGATGCAGGCATATACGACAGAGTAAAATTTTAGGGCTTCAACTGTAATTTGTAAATGTCTTGTTTAAGAGGACCCACTAACTTTCTGAGAGAAATCTTAGAATAGCCTGTAAACACTCAAACCAACTCTCTACTGCTATTTTATTATTTTTTTTAATCTGCTCCTAAACCAGAGACATAAAAGTCTAAATTAAAACAACTCTGAGGAACAGTGGTCAGGAAGGCTTGCTGGAAAGACATACCACCCTAACATTATCCTTGATCATGGGACAGCAAACTATAGCCACAGACCAAAAAGAGCCTGCCACCTGGTTTTTGAATGATCTGTGAGATAAGAATGGTTTGTGCATTTTTAAATGGTTCGGGGGGGAACCCCAAAAGAATATTATTTCATGACATGGGAAAATTGTATGAAGTTCAAATTGCAGTATCCGTAAGTGAAGCTCTACTGGAACATAGCCACGCTTTTTGGATACAATGGCAGAGCTGAGTAGTTATGTCAGAGACTGTATATTCAACATCACTACCTGGCTCTTAACAGAAAGTTTGCTGACCCCTGTTTTGGATCAACGTTCTCCAGTGTGCCAACTGCGTTTCTTTTTTTTTGTTTGTCTGTTTAAAGGTCTGATGATTGAATCAGTTTGGGGAATGCTGGGCCAATTTCTTAATTGCGGGACTTCTTAGAGCATTCAATATGCTGCTGTCACATAGTTCTTGTCACGTCTATGTGGTCTGGGCTTTTTTTTTTCTTTTTTTGGTGGGAGATCATCTCCCAGATCTGACATCTTCCTCAGGAGACTACCCTCTGAGAAGTGATGGACTGCTCGCCGCACAGACCTCGAGGGAGTCCTTGCCCCAGATGGAGCCTTGTCACCAGGCCTACCCCAAGGGCCACGGCAAGAAGTCAACAAAATGGCCATGCTACTCACTGCAGGGAAGCTGATGAGGGCCTTGTCCATCCGAACATGTGGCCCCCTTTTTTTTTTTTTTTTAATTTTTTTTTTTTCAACGTTTATTTATTTTTGGTACAGAGAGAGACAGAGCATGAACGGGGGAGGGGCAGAGAGAGAGGGAGACACAGAATCGGAAACAGGCTCCAGGCTCCGAGCCATCAGCCCAGAGCCCGACGCGGGGCTCGAACTCACGGACTGCAAGATCGTGACCTGGCTGAAGTCGGACGCTTAACCGACTGCGCCACCCAGGCGCCCCAATGTGGCCCCTTTTATGAGTGCTTTTGGGGGAAGTTTATATGCGGCAAGGACCCACTCCTGCCCTCCTGAGCTAATGGTTTGTTTGTATTTTACAGACGTGAATTTTATCCTTTTAAGTTTCCCTCTTTGCTTGGGCTGCTAGGAGACCCAGGAAACTATGGTGACTTGCCTCAAAAGGATCTTATTTATAGTCTGAACTTTGTGAACTAAGCTTTCTCCTGGCTGCAACTAATTATCCCACTTATATATTCCTTTTGCCTTGTATCCGAACTAAAAAAAATTAACTACATTATATGTGTACCTGTTAGGTACCTTAAATCACTTCTTTTAAAAAAGCAGGGTATAAGTACGTACGTAGGCAGACCGAGGGGTTACAACCTTTCAGGATCACGTTGAAGGGGATGGTGGAAGGAAAGACCTTCGATATGGGCTACTAAGAGAATGAACTTCTAGACACAGCAAAACCTGGCGAGCTCCCAACAAGTATTTGTACTGTAGCAGGGGACTCCAAACTTGCTCTCTCACAGTGGAAAGTTGGGAGAAGCAAGGGAACAGTGAGTGACCCTGACAAACCCCAGCGCCGAGAGCCAGTGATTTAATCTGTTGTCATCGCCACAATTACGAATCGGCCATGATGCGGTGCGTGAGGGTTCCTTCTGGTTGTGGGCCACAGCGGCTGGGAGCTGCTGGCCTCAGCACTTGGGAGCCCAGCCCCACGGGGGTGGTGCCCTGTGCAGCTGTTACACTCTGTTAACATGCTTGGGATTTTACTGGCTCCTCTTCTGGAAGGCTTTGGTCTCACAACCTGCAGGGAGCAGCCTGGTCTGCCAGCTTTTAGAACCTGTGAGACCAAATATTTAAAGAGTTCCGCAACAATGGTTAGAAAGAAGCTAACCCTGACCCACAGGAAA